CAAGATAATGGTTAAAAAGTTAATTTGAATTTGTTGTTACTCAAATGAGGTGCGCGGCGCGACCATTGGGCCGCATTTGGTAGAGTTTACGATGGTGGTAGAGTTCGAAATTTCGACCATCTCACCCAAACACTTAAAATTTAAGGTCGAACCATTAAACCTAAAAATCCGATTATTGCCCTTATGAGTTGAGGTGTGGTATAGCCAATGCCTCTAGGCAATCGAGCCTGTGTTTTACACCATTATAATCTAATCAATTTCACTTCTTTTTTTCATATGGGATATATTTCGCCTCTATTTTTACCTACCTTAGCATCCTTAAATAACAAATCAATTTCCGGAAAAGAAAAATTAATCCGAGCGATTCAATATTCCGCAGCAACCATACTGGCTTAAAGCAATTTAGGAATTATTATATATAATATGTATTAATTAATATAGTGACTATACGGATAGAAAGTACAGAGTAGCAAAATGCATTCGAATTCAAACTGCTCTAAACATCCTTTTCAATGGAAGAGCTATATCCAATTTGATCATCATAGTACTTGGACCAAAGCATCACCCTTCCATACTCTGCGGAACCCTTGATTGCTGGAAGACCTTTTGAAGTAAGATCCTTAACTGGAATGAACCCACTTCCAGCTGCCTCAGGAGCTGCAGGAAGTCCTAAGAAAATCTTAGTTGCTGGGATATCTGTTGTCCATTGCTTCCAGGCATCTTCCAAGTTTGCGATATCCCCAGATGAGTATTGACATGGAGGATTGTTGTAGAATTGCACCCAGACATAGTCGAAAAGGTCCGTCTTAAGGGCACCCCCAATCCAGACATCAGGGAAAGGGCATTGAGGGGCTGCAGTTAAGTACACTCTCTTACCTTTTTTACTATAACCAGAGAGATACCTCGCAAGATCATCCCAATATACGTTGGTTCCTCCTTCAATATCGAAATCAATTCCATCCAAGAGAACGTTGCCTATGGGGCGAGACGAAGGATGTCCCCCCCACCCCCCCCAGAAAGTAATTCCATAGATAAACCGCAACTTGTCTAGCATCAGCGGAAGAGTTAAGGTAGTCACTCCCTGCCCCTCCTCCGATTGAAAGCATTACCTTGATTCCTTTCGCTTGACATGATTTGATGTCAGAGCTCAAAGTAATGCAGCCATTGGTGTAAGGATCGCAATGGCCTGCAAGGTTGATAATGGGAGTCTGGCCATTGCCAAATGTGGGAAGAAATGCTATGTTCACGAAGTCATAATTCCCTCTGGCACAGGTCTCCGCTAGGGTGCCTTCGTTCTCGTTCTGGCCGCAGTATATAGCAATCTTCCCTGCATCAAAACCAAATGACTTGAGCACGAACTGCTAAGCCGAAAATTGCTAGTGAAATTGGAGAGTTGAAAGCCATCTTAATGCTCGATTTTTTTCTTTGGTGTTCAAAATGCTCAAAGAGTTGTCCCTTTTATAGTGAAATGAAGAAACCCCAAAATGAAGGTTCTTTTGTCTTAAGTGGGAACTGCTTTGTCCAAAGGGAGTCTACAATAATGGAAGTGGATCAACGCAAATGGCTTATAAGAGAAAAGAAAAAAAATTGAATTTTGAAATTGTATTATCTGTTCGTATTTATGCACATTGTCTACTAGTTTGGAACTATATATGAAAATGCCATAAAAGAATGACAAAATCTAGTGTTATTATTATTTTTTATAATAATTATTAAGTAGTATAATAAGTTGGTTTTAACATATTATATTAAGTTAATTTTTATAGTTTTATTAAAGACAAGTCACTCACATTTAAACTAAAAAATTTAAAAAAAATCATCTACTTATTTACCTCTCATACTAAAAAGAATCAAATCATAATTAATTAAATGAAGAATAATTTTTTTTTTATCACCTAGATAAGACCTGAAATAAAATCTTGGCTTCAAGTTAGTGCAATTTTGGTTTTGGGTTGGGCCATTGGGAATGGGTGTGACTGTTTAGGGTGTGCTTAGAGAACGGGGGAGTTAACAATAATAAAACAGGGTCAAAGGCCCAAACCCTTAGATTGAAGAAATCACATTGCAAAGGCAAACCAAGTCCACCGAGTCTCTAGAAGCAACTGTGACCCTATTAGACCGCCACGTGTTCTTAAACCCTAAACCATCCAGCCAGTTACAGTCCCCTTCTCTATATAAACCCCAAAACCAGTCAGAGCCTCCACCCTCAACAACAACTGCAAATCAAAACCCTTGAATAAAGTTCATTTCTTTACCTTAATGGCGGCTACAGCAGCGAGGACGCTACTCAGAAACGGCAAATCCCCTTTGCCCC